GCCTCAGAGCAGGGGGGAGGCCGGACCCGCCGGAGGAATGGGAAGATCGCCGGGCAGCGCTGCAAAGGAAGGAGGGCGGATCGGCCGCGATGCTCTGCACGTCGCTTGCGGGAGGCTGTTTTTGCAAACTAGGACGCCAAGAACGCCTCGGAACCGATGTCCGACGCCTGGAAGGGAACCCCCAGCCGGCCCTGTGGTCTGGTTCATTAAAATGTATTAACTGTGGAAATCGCCTTTTTCTTTATCATCTCTTGTAGGGTTAAGATGATTATGGACATCTTCCGAGTTTCAGAAAATCGTACATGTGATGGAGTGGGCTTTAGTTCACAAATGATTTTGCTTCAGTTTTTTGTTGCATTTTTTCCCTTAGATATTCTTAATTCTCAGAAATCTCTTTCTGTAAGTGAGAGCCAGTCTGGTGTAGTGGTCAGGGCATCAGGCTAAAAACCAGGAGACCCTGAGTTCTAGTCCCACCTGGGTGACCTTGGGCCAGCCCCTCTCTCTCAGCCTTAGGAAGGAGGCAATGACAAACCACTTCTGAAAACCTTGCCAAGAAAACTGCAGGGACTGGTCCAGGCGGTCAAAGGCGTGCACACACAAATTATTAAAAGTATTGGTCTAACCCGTCCTACTATCTTAAGGTATGAGGATAGAATACAAGTGGCATATAATCCAAATAGGTTTAATATAAAGCAATAAAATTATACAGTAACATCATAAATCAGATGAAGAACATACAAATAGCAGATCAAACCAGCATGACATCTTCAACTGCCTAGACAACTGAGCCTTATTTACCCCTCTAATGGGAAGGACATTCCAGAGGTAAATCTCTGCCTTCCTTTGACTACAAAATCCAGAGAGATGCCCCCTGAAGATCTTAAGAACAGTTTGCCATCATGCCAAGTTTTTGTTCAACCATGGTTTAATGAATAAGCCACACTTCACTGGGTTTTGATAATATTCCAAGCCAAAACCAAAGAAACTCATCCGGCACAAAGTATAAACCAACCTGTTTCGAAGACAGTGGCATTAAAAATAGAACTGAGAAAG